TGAAGAAAATCTGAGAGGTTGAGGTGTAAACTTATGCGATTTGGCACGGAATGGCTTGTTTATATGTATTTTTTTTTCTATGTAACCGTTGATTAGCATTAACGCACTAGCGAATAGTTGTCGGTAGTTTCTGCTGAGGAGACGAGAATGAAAGTTGCACAAGTTGAACTGAATTGTGTACTGTACGGAATAAGAAAAATCTTCAAAGATCTGAACAGGAATTTTTTTGGAGGCTCTGAACATCTTGAAAGGTTGTTCTGGGTTCAAATGATACCCCAAAGACGCAAAAATTGCTATCATTTCTGTTTCTCAAATCAACCCATAGTTAACAGTTGCTGAAAGTTACAGAAATAAATGGGGAAAATAAAACATGAGTTTTTTGGTCTTGCACCAGTTCCTCGAAGTCTACTTAATGATTTCTATAGATATGGTAGCTTCTCCCCTATCTCTGAGCCAGTCACTAGTCAGTGTTTTTTGCTCGGATGTTCCGGTTAATAAGTGTATTTTCAAAAAAATTTTTTGTTTCTCCTTCCCATCATACAGCCAGTTTTCTCCTGCCATAGATTCCATAAATAAGCTGATGAATAAGCTGCCCAAATAAGCTCGTGTAGATGCTGTATTACCGCAGAAAAGATCAACTACGAAGCTAAACCTGTACTTTACCAGTGTTCAATGGCGGCTCGTTATCATTTTTCTGTCAAAGTTTCCAGATTTGAAAACTTAATATATAATTACGATGCTGCTTTTGTTTCATTTTTAACCGGCTGAAAAATGCTTTACTTTTTGATATTCACAATTGAAGGGACCTGTTTAGACGTTCATTTTTTCTTAAATTTCTTCTTTGGAAAAGTTTTTATAATGGGAGAATTCAGCACGGGAAAAAAACCACCCTAAAATATCTATTTCTGGTAAAATATTGAAAACTGCTGAAGAAAATCAGAATTTTTTGCTATGGCCAATCACATAATAAACAGATAACAAGAGTAATATTCGGGAATTTCCCATACTTTCAATAGTCATTTACACTGATAGTACTTCGTCTATCGTCACCTGTTTTGGAGTTTCTAGGGCCGTTTCCGATTTGATATTGTTATCGAGATTGGGAGTCATGAAGTGTTAATTACGGTCATTCAGTCAAAAATTTAGAAATTCTGAACATTGATGTTATTAACACTGCACATATTTCACATACGTGTGTAATTTGGCAACGGTTTTTCTGGGAAATAATGTTTCATATTTTCTTCTCTTGTTTAACATAATAATGTTTTATTTCGAAGCGCTGATTAAGTATGATCTTAAGATTCGAATTTTTTTCGATTTTTATCTGAAAAACTAATTTAACAACTGGTGTATTTTCTGACTTTGTTTCGCCAGGTCAAAATGTTTGCCGATTATGGATTATTTATAGTTATTTCGAGAATTGTAAACCAACTCCTTCTGTCTTTTTTCTGTTGCTACCATAGAGATTGTAGTGGACTACTAACGCAGATGTATTTGACTTAAAATATTATCATTTATTTTTTTTATTACTGCTTATTTTGACGGAAATGATGATGTCATGGTTGATAATATAATGCATGCATGGACGTAGACAAGAGTCCGAAGAGAAGAAAAAGATAAACAACTGAATTCGCTCAAAAAAATTATTTGTACCATTCAATAGCAATCAAAAAGAGAAAAAAAGTAGTGAAAGAATAAATGAAGAAGCACTTTTTGCCAAAAAAAGGCTTCAAATTGATAGATTGGTAAATAATTTTGGGTAATGAACAAGACAGCTTATTTGAAAGATATTAAAAGCAATCATCATATTTTGTATACCGTGAAATTACTATTGGATATCCAACTTATTTTTACCTTTCATAATCTTGTAAACATTTTTATCTCTTATTTTCGATGTTGCTTGGTTTAAAAAAGAATAATTAACTTTTAGAAATTTCTAAAAAGTAACTCAGTGATAGAGGAATTGACAAACACACACAATTAATTTGCGTAAACTTAAATAAAGCTGAAAATTATGACCAATGCAGTATCTGAATAATTTTGCGCCTGATGATTAAGGCAAGTAAAAGTCTCGTTAGTCATGGCAACAGCATAGATGCGATTTTAGGCATTTTAGCACTGTTGGAAGTTATCATTTTAAATGACGGGCTGATAGAAGAAGCAGAACAGCTAAGAACAAACAGCAATGTTCAGAAGGCGGCAGTGTGACCGTATGAGTATCTCAAAAGCTTTTGCAGGAAGATACGTGACACTCGTTTACCTCTCCAACTTTGTTTTAAAACGTACAGCCTACCTCATCTTCGTAAGCTCACCTGAATAAAGATTTGTCTACACTAACAGTGCTGATAGAAGTGGAGAGTTCAAGATTCAGCGGCAGAGTTAGATAAACAGAGGTCCTCGTTGTTATAACTGCTTTGTACAGAAACCAATTTTTGCTTCATCAGCCACTTAAATTCACTTAACGCTCTATTTCTTTTGTTTTTTTTTTTTCTTTGATAAATTAACTTTTTGGTAGGTTCATTTTCTCACACACAGTTCTGTGTCCGCCTTTTTACTTTATTATTGCTATTTTTAAAAATTCTAGTGTATCAGCTAATTTAAATATTAGTTTAACAAAAGAATCATTGATGCAGCTGTGGCTGGCAACCGCTGTAGTTGTACTCAGAAACCAATTTGTACAGTATACAAATAAAATCATAACTTTTTCTGATTATCAAAAAAAAATCGTTGAATTAAACATTTTTTTTGGAATAATTTTTTGTGAACTAATTAGAATTTTATTTTTTTTCAAAAAAAAAAAAAATTTTTTTTTTTTTGATAAAATGGATTTAACTAAGAAATTATCTTTTGACGAAATCAAAGTTGATGTGTATTTTTTTAATTCATGTGTTTCAGATAGCCGTTGGACATCGAAGATGTTACCTGTACAGTGTAAATTAAGAAACATTGTATCTGCTAGAATTCTACCTAACACTAGGCCTGCAATAATTTTGAGCAGAAATAGTACTGCATAGTTAGTTTTTAATGTTTTTCTTTTTCCGCTCTTGTTTGATTAATGTAGTTGTTGCTGAGTAATGTGCGAGGAAAAATATGGTGGACAATCCCTAAACAAGCAATTCTACCTAACTATCTCACTGACAAGGTGGTTTAGGTGCGACCTGTCAGGTTTTAAGGTGGCCCACCAATTCTTGTTAATTCTTGTTTTGTCAGTTACGGAGATTCCAACAATATTTCTGTTTTTCTTCTTTTGTGTTTATTTATTTTTATTTTTTTATTTTTTTGTTTGGCCCTCTACAGTTTTTCAGTATATTCTTCTTAATAGGCTGATGGATAAAATTAAAGGGTCGTGCTGCCGTTGCCGTCGTTTTTGCAGATTATGTTATTATTGCTGCCATTAATGTTATTGCTTCATGTTTGTATGTGATGACAAAATTTTGCACTAGTTTGCTTAGATGCTTTTGCACATCTTGTCTAATAAACACTGTACCAAACTTTTTACCGATGTACTACTTCAAGGAAGTAACCGGAAGCACTACATGAATGCTGACCCGACTTTTAGTGTCACTAGCACAACACTGTATTTTAAACTGCCTTTTCAGCCATTAGGTCTAAAACTTATGAAATTCTTGATTTAAATAAAATTACCGCAATATTGCATCTAACCATTTTAGCAAGATACTGGTTCCCAAACATTTTAGGCAAAATAAGTTCAACTGTGAAGCCGTTAGCAATTTTGTTATGTATTGTTGTTGTCGCTGAGGTTCTATAACAATCTACTTTTAAGTTATCCTTTCTAAATAATAACTTTCAGAGTAAACGTATCTTTTGGAGTAGGGTTTGTATTTAACGAAACTTATAGTTCTGGAATAGGTTGCTTTTCCTGTAGAGTCAGCTAATTATGACGGAACAAGAAGTTTCGCAAAAAATTTATTCCTATTTTCGTCCGCTCAGCAAGAAAACTGTTTCAAAGTGAGGTGCCTCACGAACCTTCTGGTTGTATTGATGTTTCAATTACTTTTGGTTTACCTATTATTTGTGAGTTTTTAAAAG